CGTTACTTTATTGGTTATTAATTAATTACCTTTCTCGATTCCCGACCGGTCTTTTTCTGTTACCAGGTGAAATTGAACCAGATTGGTTTCCGATAAAGTGGATTGTTTATTAATTCAATTCGACACCGTCTTTTGTTACTGGCGTCTAATTACAGAACGATTCCATAACCGTAGTTCTGTTTTTTACCACGAGATGTCGCTACTTCGTGACGTCAAGAAGCTGGACAAGCATAATTCTGACTGTGGTATAAATACACTACAGTTAGAATTAATTTATTACGAACAAAATTTGCTACTGTTCGTTTGTTGAACGTCAAATTTCTTTTGTCTAATGTTCAATGTTTATATTATAGCTTTAAAAGATGATTATTGTTTATTATTTTTATCAAAATATTTAAAATTATACAGTATTTTATAAAAGTTATTCTACAGAATATGTAGACTTTCGTTCTTAAATTCTTTTAATCTCAAGATTTTCCTGCTGAATTTTCAATCTCTTACTCGAATTTTTTTTTTTTGTATTATTTGATAAAATTATTCATTGCGTTTTAGAAATAATTTAAACGTTTTATATTAGAAAATTTGCAATACAGTATTTTATTTCACAATTAACGTTTATCTTTGAAATGTTCCACAAAACCAAACTCAATTTTCTGCATAGGCATCCTTATTTGGTTTTCACGAAATTTTAAACAACCTAACCCTAGCGAATACCAAGAGTTAAGTGTATCTTGTGTAATTTGAGTAAAGTCTTTTGAATTGGTAGTTTAAATCCATCAACAAATTATCATCGTCACTAAAATATTAGTGAACTTTTTGTAGCCTGATTTAACAGATCTGCAATGATTCATTTGAACGTTAGCTAAGAAAAAATGCCACAGTATTCATAAGAAAGATGTTTTCTTTATGAAAAAGATTTATTGAAAATTATACATTTGCAACATTTTCATATGCACAATCTGTTATTGAATGTTTTCCTTTTGTAAGTACAGTACATTTCTGAACTGAGCGTAGTCATGATCCCATGTGCCAGAGCCGCACGAGTAGAATTTATAAATTCCATGAATTTTTAGACAGTACGACACAATTAACTTTAGTTGGTTCTCAACTTATCTGTGACTTTCCATTCGTAGAAATCTGTCAAATACAGTACATAATATTTTTAATTACAGTACTACTGAATGAGCTGTTAATATTCATGAAAACAATTATTTTAAGATATATTAATTAAATACAGCATTTTTAAATTTCAGAACAGAATTTACTTACCCTTCATAGTTTTGAATTCCAGCTTCTCAATTTCACAGGCAAATTTATGTACTATACAGGTACAGTACTTTCTCCAGATGTTCACGTAATTGAAGGAAAGTAGAAAATCCTTCAGAACATGAAGTCTTCCGACAGAATATAGACTTTTCCTCCACCAGGATTTGCTTATGTTCTAAATCTACATGCTTGTTAGTAAGATTTCCTTTTGAGAAGTGCTTATCGCAATAACAACAAGTATTATCTAATATATAATAAGAAATCGTTATGCAAGATATTAAATCTTGCATAACGATTTCTTAGCAACGTAGCGGGAATACTTTACAACCAATTATCGATGATAAAGTATGGTTTTAAAGCTAAAATATCGACAAAAAATTTCAAGCCACCGTGCAGTATGAGGTATACGCTAGCTGAACGTCACGAGACTAGCGGCATCTCGTGGTAAAAACCAGAACTACGGCTACGGAATCGTTCTGAAATTAGACGCCAGTCTTTTGTTTGACGTTAATCGAACCGTGTGCCTTACTTTCATATCCTTCTTTGTTCGTCTTGTCTAGAGCAGAATTACCAGAAATGAAGGTCATTATTCAACATTATGTTCCGTGACTTTCATTCTATACTTCGTTTAACAATGGTGTATTAATTTAGTCCAGTTTTGGTGGTGACTGATATAATTATTATTTTTCACGGAAATTTAGAATGAAGGAAATTTTTCCTAAAATTTGAACCACATGATTTACTCTATTTTTAACCAGTTTTTCGTCACAGGAAAAGTCGATAGTGACAATTGTGTTTTTCTTTCACAACGCCAGTTTTCTTACCATAACAAAATGAACAGTTTCATCAATACAAGTACAAGCAAAGTTATGTAATAAATTACAGTCAAAAATTGTATTTTAATTTACAATCGAATCACATGTTCCTTCGTGGTGATCGTATCATTTCAGCACTTTTCCCGACAAATAACATTGACAAATACCTATTCGCGACAATTATGTATATCCAGTCCATTAGTGGAGGTGCAAATCAAGGTACGTATTAACTCTAAACAAAATTTCATTAAAAAACATAACCGTACCACATTGTTTCGTCATTTTGATCGGATTACCTTAATTATTCTAAATATAAAATTGATCTGTCATTTATAACTGCTTCTGTTGTTAAATTTTGTAAAGAGGTAGAAGTATTTTCAATTCTGATGTTTATAATTTTATTTCATTTTATAATATAAAGGGAAAGTTACATTTAAGGAATTAGTAACGTTATCCAAGACGTAGGAATTGAAATTTTACACGTTATATATTCAATCAATCAATCAATATAATCAATCAATTATTTTATTAATGCATAAAGATGCATGTCCAGCACTGCTAGACATAGCTGGACATGGGTTACAGAGAAATAGATTGCAAATAAACAATTTCACATAAATATGTAAACGCGGACAATATATAAACTTTGAACTGGATACAGTAAACAATGACAAGTAGTGTATACAGTGCATTAGTACAAGCGGTACATGGAATTTGCAAAGGAATAAAACGTGACAGTATTGAAACTCCATATAGCGTATATGGAGTTCCAATTAATTGTTGATACTGAGCAACAAAACATATACATTAAAGAGCATATAATATACAATGAATAAATGGTGAAAACAGAATACTAGGTATAAAGTACACAGTACTGACAAATATGCAAACACAATGTAATAGCAATAGAGGGTCTATACAGTATATACAATCTGAATTACATATTACCTAAAAGTTGGATGAGCCTGTCTAATACAATTGGGCGACGCTCTAGATGACACTTGGAAATTTTGACCGACGTTATAGTTGTTCTGTTTTGCAAACCTGTTCGACGAACTAGATGAGTTGTGGGATGTAACATGCAGACACCTGCGATGCCTGTATATAAGGGCGGCAGGTTGTTCTGGACGGCCAATCTCCTAAACAGAACACCAAACGACAAAATGGCCGACTGCTGTCTTCTGGCTTTCTCTTGGATAGGGAAGCCAAGATGGTTGGCTACATTTCTTGAAACTTTAGGAATTAAAGTTGGGAAAAAAGTTAGGCTTAGCTAACCTAAGCCTAGCCGAACTCTAACCCTAATTTATCCCTAACTCTCTATATTTTAGCAATAGGGAGAGCTACCTAGGCCTAAAATTAGGCTTAACTCTAAGAACCGACTAAAAACCCTAGTCAGGAGCACAAGCAAAAACCAACTTACCTTGTGGAAGTCCAGACTCAGAATTTTACACGTTACTTACAGTATGTTGTCACGTTATCGTAAGTGATATTATTAAATTAATAGAAAATCTAATGATGTGATTGTGAAAATGCAATTGAAGTTTTTCGTCAAACTTGCTATCATTCTGAAGTAACAACCGAACTTGAATCTCTTCTTCGACATCGACCTTACATATGCGTTGCTAATCGTGTCTGACCTGAGATGAATTCGCCGCTAATTCAAACCCAACGGTCGCCTTCTCGGCCGTTCCTAGTTTTAAAAAGGCGGGGATTATACTTATCCTGTATGTCTGGGTAGAATCGTGTAAGAACACGATTCTACCCAGACATACAAGATAAGTGACATGGAACGTCTACAGCGTTGTAGTATAAATTTGTGTATTTTAACATCAACCTTTCTAATATTATAGTATTGTTCTATCGGGGAGCGACCTAGATAGGAACAATGAAGATGATGACCATATCATATCCACTTCACATTGTATTCATTGTAAAAATTACATCTCGAGATTTTTTCCCATTTGACCTTATATTCTTGTAAGGTCTCATTTTGTTTAAATTAGTGGCGGCGCTGTTGTTGCCGCAGTTGTTGCCCATGTTGTTTTCTGTTGTTTGTTCTTATCGCCACAAGTTAAAGTTGGTAAGCATCAAATATTAAATTATTCATTAATATTAAACTTTTAGAACTTCGTTTCAACGGTCGCCATTAACGACGAGCAAAAATCAAGAGTTCAGATTGTTCAAACGTATTAAACAAAAGATATCAATTCATAGAAGTTATAAATTCGAAGAAGTAGATTATTACTAATATCGTAAATTCTAAATTGAAAAAGAATTAATTTTAACGTTGGAATTTGCTCGCCATTACGTAAGCCTGACACTCTTCAGTCGTTTCTCGCCAAGAACGCTAAATAGATCTCGCCAAGATCGGTCGCCTATCGACACGAGCATTTGTTATAAATTCGCATTTCTGGTCAAAGTTGAAAACTTCGCTTCAGAATTATGACAACCATAAACGACGAGTTGAACTCTTTAACGTCAGAAGATATAAAACACTTTACTGTCGCCCAGTTGAAAACCGATTTACGTTTGCGGAATCTTTCTCTTGCTGGAAGCAAAGACTGTTTAATTTCTCGCATCGTGGATGATAATATAAAAAGAAAACAGCAGGGAAATTTAGACGAACTCGCTACTCTTAGGATGCGATCGAGTGACAAAGATGACGACGCTAAAATAATTCCTGACAGCGCGCAGAATTATTAAAACAAATCCAACTGTTACAAAAACAAGTCGAAACCCTAAATAATCGCAACGATACGCCACAAATTTCTGCACCTACTTCACAACTGGATCCTAATATTGCCGCAGTCCTGACCACGCTAATGGAATCCCAAAAACAGACAAATAAATTCGCCAAGTACTATTCAAATCACGTCAACTAATGACACGGCAAATTCCATTCCAATATTTCGTGGTGATATGATTGACAATGCGCTCGAGTGGCTAAAAGAGGTCGAAAGAATTTCAACATTGGCAAACTGGACTGATGAACTCAAATTGACTAATACTATCTCACGTCTCGCTGGATCTGCTAGAAATTGGCAATTAACTCAAGGTAACTGTTACAATAATTGGATAGAATGGAAAGTTGCCCTTACATCAAGATTTAAAAGACGTATTACTATGCAAGGATTTTTAGCTTATCAAGCTGATCGGAAACTAAAAAGGAACGAAAGCTTGGTTGATTACATATATGCCAAAGACGCTCTCTTGGAAAAAGCTCCTTTTACTATCCCACAGCCAGATCGAATTTCAATGATCATTGGTGACATCACTGAAGAAAAATGGCAGATTGCCTTAGCTACACAGAACTCTAATACTGTCGAAGAGTTAATTGACAGAGCAATGGAACTTGATGCAATTCGAAACATGCAGTACGAATATAAATCACGCCAGCCTTACGGATCACCCCCATCACCGAAAATTACACCAATATCTTCTAATCCGTATAATGAACAACTTCGCAAGTATAACCCTGAAACCGATGATCTTCGCGATATCATCTGTTGGAGATGTGGAACCAGAGGTCACGCATCGTTCATGTGCAGTTTACCGCCTCCTCAAAAAGGTTCACCAATTGCTCGCCCAAAAAATTCACCGAGTCGTTTTGAAGAAATTCAGAACCGTCAAACGAACGATTCTTCTCAGCATATCGAAAACACAACTAATCCCAATAATTCGTCACCACTTGGCGTTACAGGCCCAAAGTTTACAGATTTACGTCGCAATACTAAACGAAATTCAGCAACACGACCAGAGCCTAAAAGAGCAAATGACTCTAACTCTATAAACTGCATTAAGACCGATATAAAAAACGTGCCTTAATACCTGCTACCATTAACAATCAAACCGAAGTTCAAGCACTCTGTGATCCATGCACAGATATCACAGTTATTCAACAATCGTGCGTTCCACCTGATTGTGTCATTCATCCGTGGACTGATAGTAAATTACAAGTTGTTGATCACGAAATAAAGCCCATAGGTTGGATATCCTTAAATATTAAGATTGGAAACATTGATCATCTAATGCCAAANTAGCTTCAAATTCCGTCTTTAGTCCATAACTATTTAAAACATCGTTTTCAAAATAATGTTATCCAGACAATATTATAGTTGAGTATGTCACGTTACTGACGCATTAACATAACTAATGCATTAATATAAACAATAATGTTTGTTTAGGGCTTTAGGCTGTATACTTATACATATTACAGATCGTTCAATTACTAATAATAATAGCACTTCTCTCTTGGTAGGAGAATATAAAACTTTAAATCTTTTTATGTTTAATTTTATTCATAATTTTACTTCGTAACATTACAGTATCACGTCTTTATGGAAAAATTCGTTTTAAAGCAACATGTGAGGTTCCAAAAATGGGTTGAAATTAAACATTTATTATAGTAATTTGGTAAAACGAAACTATAAAAATCGTCCATTGTTAAAAACCGATCGAAGATCGGATTAGTTGTGCTAGTCATATGAAANTGTTATAAAATAAAAAGTTTACACTCATTTAAAATAACTAAAACAGCCGTACAATACTTGACTGTGTATCGACATACATAATTTACATATTTTGATACTATTTATATATTAACGTATAATTAAATATTTGTACTGTATCTATAAGTTTCTTTACCATCAAAATTATTTTCATTAAATAATTTACAAGGTTTCATTCTATTCACCTATTAAATACTTGTATTTAGTAGATCAATAGGTAGAGAGAGACTCTTGTAAATACCTTAATATTCTTTTCACGTGTCAATTTTTAACACAACGTCGCCGGAAAGTAATAAAATAAACGAACTGAAATGAAAGAAAGAAAAACTGAATTACAGTTACGTATTATAAGTGCGTTAATTTATGACGAAACAGTAAAGTTTTCATTAAATATAATACCGAGAAACTCACTTATATCAGATCGGTTTTCCTTTTTTATTTTGCATGATTTTTCTTTTAAGTTTGTATCACGAAATGTTAAAAGTTTAATTAATTAACATGTAACACTACAACTTACTGTATTTTATCACACAGGAAATGCCAAAATGCGAGAAGAATCTATAATTGACCACACGAAAGTTTACCCGTACTAACCCAATTACTTAATTAAACCTGACGTCACACGTGTAGATAGATAGACTGTTTTAGTATGTCACTCCGTATCGTCGTTTGATAAGGAATAATTGTTCGAAAACGAGTTATATCAGTAAAATAACTATTAATATTTGGTAAAAGTTTTACTGCTGATTTGACGATTAAGCAGATCTAAATATAGTAATTTATTTGTTTTTGTAATTATGCATAAATTAAGATTATTTTTAACACCGGTAACCCTAGAGATAATTGCTGATGTCTGATCGTTAAAATAGCTTTCTCCTTGGCACACTTTATTTACTGCGTAAGTATTTTCTGACTATTTTGTTTTAAAACAATTACAGTAATTTTGTTTTGAAACACCTCAATCATTAGAAATAAGTAAATTAATTTCTGTTATGTAATTTAAGTCAATTTCAGTTAAATAGAGTGTATATAAATCGAAAAATACTACACTGGTATATCTGGGCGTATAAGAAGCTTCTTTGCTTTTGTAATCAAACTACATTGGTGTTTAACGTGTTAGACTTTATGTGAATCGTAATTTAAACAGTAAATATTTTTACATATTTGTAAATTTGGGGGGTTTAAAGTGTGTAACGACAACTATAGACTGTAACTTCGATATTATTTTATTACTTTATTATTATTTATGTTAAATGCATACTTTAAATTTTTGTACTAATGTACTTTAATTAATAATACTGTACTATAATATAAATAAATAATAACTGTTACGCTATTGAATCATAACAGACTATCGAGACTTATAATTACGTAAGTAACATAATTTATTAATATATATACGTATCCATGTACAGTACATTATATTGTCCTGTTAAGGAGTGCGTATTTAGGCTATCTTTTGTAAATGTTTAAACTGATAAAATGGTTGTAGATAAAATACTTGGTAGACGTTCTATCCGCAGCAGCAGACAGAAATTTATTTGAATTGTTAATTTCTTAAAACGTCGAGATTAAAATCATATAAAACTTATCACCCGTGTTTTTGCATTCGTAACCGCATTAATGACAGACAAAGAACCAGTACTGAGATGTTTTAGACGCAGATATTTATATTTTTAATAAGAATTTATTTATTAATTCACTTTGTTCTTTTTCTCTGTCTTATACTTTGATTGTTCTAATCTAAATCTTAGACAATGTGGTCAGAAAATTATTCTTTTGTATTACTGAAGGACAACACGATTTATAATTTAGAGCTTTATCTACATTACAACTTTCTTTAATATGATTTTATATTACGTACATTTTTACATCGATTTATTATCATATGCAAATAATTCATATCACTTTAATTTTCTAATTCGCATTTAAATTTTAAAGACTTACTTAAGATATAATCACAAATTACAGTGTCATTTATTATCAGAGTATCATATGTTACTATTTTATCATTATCATATCTCGCTATAAAGATAATTCTATTTAACTGTACTAGTTTATTATCTAACTCTATCATACGTAAATATTGAGGCCTATCACTGTGCCTATACTTTTCCATTATTTTGTCTGTAAATTTTTTTACCGACATAAAAATAATTATTATCAATTCAAAATAATTATTATCAATTCAAAATTATTATATTAATTCCTGAATTATTTTTAAATTTATTTTTATTAATTTAAATATTGAAGTACTATTTTATTCGTTTATGCCTTTTCTTAGTTTTCTGTAACCTGAAGAGGGATGTTGTTTTAGAAAAGGAAACACCCGAAATGCATATCTACAATAAATATTAGCATCTAAAACATCTTAGTATTGGTTCTTTGTCTCTGATTAATGTAAAAAAAACTGGTGATAAATTTTATATGACTTTAACTTTGAAGTTTTAAGAAATTAACAATTGATTTTAAATAAATCGCACCATTAATATATTTATACATATAGAAGTATACAAGAAATTTATTTATTTATTGTTCATATAATACTGAACAATAAAAACTTGTAAACGTGTATTTCCTCACAATTTATTTCCATATTATATGTAAGAACTAAAATTAAAGTTAACTCCGAAAGAACTTCCCTGATAGGAAGGAATCCAGGGATTTCAATCGCGCTTTAATATTGTAGGTTCGTTGTTGTGAAATTAGAATAGAAATTCTTTAACCTCGTGGTTAAGGCCGCGTAGATTTTTACGGTGCAAATCGATGAGAAATTTGATTTTTACCTCAAATTAGTAGTGGATTTACCCTGTACTGTCTATCATTCACATTTTTCCTATTATCAAACCCGTGTACGTCACACTTTTGCTGTTAACAGTAATAGTGTCATATCACCCTTTCGAGGGAAATTTTTGAATTGAAATAACGTGACTTCCGGTTTGCATCGAAAGTTCGTATATAGTTAATTGGGACTCGTGCGCCTAAGCTTTCCATGTCTGGTCTCGGCTTTCGTCTACATAACTTCGTTCTGGAGATTAAGGAAGGGCAGACATACAGACGGACGACAGTGGGAATTGATAGGTCTACAATTTTTTTGAATTCCAGCCCAAAAACTCATTCTCGGACTTCAATTTCGTTATGGGAGCAACTGCTAAAGCAGATAATCTATCGACCCTTTTGCTATTCTTAATCAATTTATCTATTAAAAATAGGCCAATTCTTTCATTATTTACGATAAAAACCTAATTCTGTTTATCTATAAAAAAGTTTAATAGGAAATATCTGTTCAAATAAATGTTATAAAATATACATGTGTATTAATTTAAATATATTTAAAGTTTTGATAATTACTAAAATTAACGTTACTTAATAATTGTCGTTAATAGGGAAATGAAGAAATCAGGCCGTTTATTTGATATTTGAAATAATTACGGGGTTGTTTGTATTTGTTATAGGCCTAATCTCTGATTTTGGGTGAAAACCATACAGTTTGAATCCATTGCCATAGAAGGAGAAATTCCATCAAGCATGAAATAAATAAAATGCCACGAAATATTATTCTTTACCTCACACGTAATAATCTTAGAATTAATGCGTTTAAAGCATGCTATACAGTTAGAAAGTACTGTACTGTACAATTTACTTTACTGTACAACTGTACTGTACAGTCGACGACCCTATAACACTGTTGATTTTTCCGTTTTATATGAATTCCATGTTGTACGAGTCACTTAGATTTTACAAATACGTGAGCCGTTCACAGCCGGCACACGTATTTGTAAAATCTAAGTACTCGTACAACATGGAATTGTGCAGTTAGTTAGAACGCGTTTTAACTAGTTGAAACTAGTTTATACTGGATGTCTTTGTTAAAACCCGTTTTGTCTCTTAGGTCAGGGAGTTCAGGATAGGATCAATGGTTCTCCTTGATGTAATCCTCTAGAAGTCTATAAGTTATCCTGTATTAGAGAAAAAACTAAAGTAAATTAACGATAAACGCAGAAAGATCAATGCTCCTAAACTAGTACAATAACAAATTCTGATCGACTGTATTAAAAAGCTTTCTCGAGGTCAATAAAAGAAGTATATAATTTTCCTCGTTCCCTCAAAAGTGATATTTGAATGAGACAAACCAAAATAAACAAATTATATTCGACGCCTCTATTTTTAATAAACGCTCTTTGGAGAGGTGTAACAATATTAAATTTATTCATCCAGACCCGGAGGCGATTTGCCACAATAGTTGGGAAAAAAACCTTTATAGTTGAAAAATACGCTAATTATAGCAATTGGTCTATAATAAATTGGCGTCTGCCT